AACTGAACTGAGCAATACCAACACTAAAAAAAAAAGAAGAAGATAGGAAAAAAATAGAATGATCTTGAATTCTACATTTTACTTAAAGCTTTTCATTTTTAATTTAAAAAATGAATTTAGGAACAAATGTTCTTGTGGAAAATCGTTTATTTGAATTTCAGCTATCCCTTCAGCTTCATTTTAATTCCTTATTTTTTGGAATTTCGATTTTACTTTTATATAAAACTGCATGTGCATAATATTTAAAATTTTCTCTACAAGTTCTGTAACAAAAAATATCATTTCCCTGTCCCAGCCAGCTCTGCTTCTTCCCTCCACACCCTAGAATTTACTACTGTCAACTTTCGTTTATACCTCTTTTTAATTTCCATAGTTTCTGTAACAAATTCATTTTTCAGCTCACATATTGCCTTTTGTTCACCTAATATATATAAGGAGAATTTAACTTTCTATACTCACTCTCCACACATAAATTCTCAACCTCCAGCTTCTCAATATGCCACAATGTAGTTAACTTTTCATTTAATCATTATACAAATTGAACTTATTAGAAATGTTAATTAAATCTGATCCAAGTATTCATGTCCTCACATATTCCTTCCTCTTTATGCTCCCTTGTGAACTTAGCACTGATAAATCTCAGATTCACTTCTTTTCTAGACATATTCTACAACTGTCTCAGATTTTCCTTTATAAAAATTCCGGAAATCTCTCCATCCTTATATTCTGAAAGCCATACTTCTAAGTTATATATCTTCCCACTTCTTGATTCTTTCTTTTCTGCAAAATAATTCCTCATTAACTTCTGGATAATGGGTGCCTGAAAGAAAATTTAAGACATTTCTCATATTACTGTTGAGTGATCATTCTAGTAAGTACATGATTCCAGGAGACAAATCCTTTCACTTTCAATCGATTGTTTCAATAATTTCTAAATTTTAGTGTTGTTATTGAGAATTATTATGCTATTTTCATAATTGATCTTTTAGTTTCACCATTTTCAAATTTGTAAGGATGAGAGCCTTTCATGTTTCTGTGTTTCTGTGTGTGTGTGTGTGTGTGTGTATAATTCTATTTCTTGCACTTATGCTAGGTGCTTTTTTTTTTTTTTGCAAGAGACTCAGCTTGAAGCTTTATAAATGCTGAAGTTTGAATCCCTCGAATATCTGCTTTCTAAAATCCAAAATTTATTGATACCTTTATCTCCTGTTGTTTTGCCTCCACTTTCTCTTTCTGCTTCAAAGTTTATGACCATTTTTGTGCATATGCTGTCGTTTTAGTAATCTTTTAAGAGTCAACAAAGTTTAAAATATTTAATCTGCTGTATTTGGTGGCCATTTATATATTCTTTTTAGTTTAATCAACATTTATGGAAATGTCATGTTTATGATTTTATTTTTAAATTCCTTCTCTCGTTCCTTCTTTATCTTTTCTCTGTCTTTATATGTAAATAGCAGTGCCTCCAATGATGTTCCTCAAATGTTGCAAGTGGATATTTCTGTAGGATAACATTTTATGTGGTTGGCTTTTTGACTTATATACTTTGTATTGCTTCAGATTTTTAATATCTACAAATCGTTTTTCCAATAAGAATAGCATTTAAAAAATCTCCTCCATATTAGAAAAGCATAAATTCGTGAGTTTTGAACAATTCAAACAAATTGTCCAGTTAACAAGAGAAAGACAATTTGTTCACGTTGTTGTCTTCTATTTGGTATCCAAGTTGTCTTCACTTCAACAAATAAACTGACTTTTAGAGGCCCTATGAAAAAAAAAGTCTAATTATATTATAAAATGTATGACTTTAGCGGCTGTTAATAAGTTTCAGGTAAAATAAATTGTATTGTAAACTTTAAACATTAAAAACAATTATCTATCTACTTACCTACCTACCTGAAATGAGGAGAAAAGCAGTATGCCTTTTATACTTCTTTATTTTGAATGTTGAGAAGGACTAGAGTGGGGAGGAATTCCCTTCCACCACAGGGATAGGATTTCCTTCTTCCAGCTGGGATAAAAATTTCCTCCTACCAGCTGGGATAAGGTTTGAATCTTGCGCTCTGTGATGCTCTTCCCTGGAGAGTAACACTTCATTGTGAGGGAGGCTCTGGGCATAATTGCACAACAGCTTATTCTTCTACACCCTTGCCAGGGCCATGAGAGGAGTTTTCTTTACTATTCTGAAGAAGCTGGTAGAGTTCTTGGAAGGAAAATCCACAAATGTCTGGAGCTTCTCTGAAGACTGCAGCCCCCAGAAGTTTCTCACTCTCATTGTCTTTCACACTCAGCCTCCAGCAATTCATCAAAATTACCATTTAAAAGTTCTTACCATTGTATGGCTTGAGCAGCTTCATCTGGGACACCTTCTGCTCCAGGTAAGTGGATCTTTGCACTGTCTTCTGGATGCTTTCATCTTTCCAGATATGGAGATGACAGTTTGCCTCCTGACCTCGGTTCTCTGGTGAGCAGTCTCATCTAAGGTTTAAGAAAAACCTTAAGATGAGAGCAGTAAATACCAAGATCTTCATGTCATCCTTGCAGTAGTCCATTACATACCAAAATGATATGAATACTAATGTTTCTTTTTATCTACTTTTTGAAGGCCAATGCTGAAATTTTCTGTTTTTACGTTTTTTGTATTTAATCTTTAATAGAGCGATACTCCAAACTTGATGGAAAAAAAACCCTAAAAAGCCTGTATCCTGTCGTATCTGGTAGATACAGGTCGGCCTGTTCTTTTGGTTTTTTTGATCAAGTAGATTGGGTTGAAATTATTCAGAAAAAATTTCTTAATAGAAGGGAAGACTTGAATTAAAATGTACATATATTTGCACATACAAAGCTAACCAAACAAATTCCTGTCACAACAATTTAGTCAGCTCATAGAATATTTAAACTCATGGATCCATAAGTTTGTGACACAAACAAATGTTAACTAAGCACTTTTTACACTGCATAAAGTCTAGGTTCAAGCAAAGCCAAACTTGACCACCTGCATGTTCATTATGGATAAATCTATCTCTCTTCATATTTTAGTTAAGTCTGCATTTCATCTTAACAGTTTTTGTTTGTCCACTTTTATTCATTTAACTGTATGCCTTCAGTCTTTATGCCAATAGCCTGCTACAAATAGGAAGGTACTGATATGGTTGGGCTCTGTGTCGCCACCTAAATCTCATCTTGAATTGTAAGCCCCATGTGTTGAGGGAGAAAGGTGATTAGATGATAGGGTAGTTTCCCCTGGCTGTTCTCGTGATAGTGAGTGAATTCTCATGAGATCTGATCGTTTTAAAAGTGGCAGGTTTTTTTCCCTGTGCTCTCACTTCTGCCTTGTGAAGAAGGTACTTGCTTCCCCTTCACCGTCCACCATAATTGTAAGTTTCCTGAGGTCTCCTCAGCCATGTGAAATAGTCAGTTCAATCTCTCTTGGGTATTTCTTTACAGCACTGTGAAAATGGACTAATACAGGTACTAACTCATCCAAGTAGCCTATAGATTAAATCTAAAATTATGTGGGAAAAATAAGTGATATGAAATTATTCGACCATCCAAATTTCAGCCTTTATGAAGGTAAAATATAAGTTTAATGAGAATTTTCAATATAGGTCATATTAAAATAATTTATATTTTTAATGGATCTGTCTTAAAAATCAAAGGAATTTAATTCACTCATTTTTTAATAGAAACTTAGTATTTAATATTTGCAAAAAATATTCTAGGTATTCTTGGAGTTATAAAAAGATTAGACAAAATTCCTGCTGGAGAGCTTGC